GATGCTGCTTGGCCTGCTGTGTTCATCCAGCCCTGCACCTTGTTGTCACAAATCAAGGTTAGGTTGCTTCACTAATATCTTCAAAAACTGATAAGCCTTTGTGCCTTACAAACCTTTAATTGTTTCCAGTAGTCTAGTGAGGATGATATCTATCAGCTACAATATACAGAAAGAGTAGGCACTATGGGGAGTTAGTGGAGGTAATGTCTCTGGACTAGCAATCCAGAACCCCAAGACATGGGTTCAGGTCCTGTTAAAGTAGGTGGTGAAATTTGACTCTTCCAACTCAGTAACATTTTCTCTCCATATCATTTGATCCAGTTAGCCTTAAGATGAGGTTTAGGAATCAAGGGTTATGGGGAATTGACAAGAAAGTAGAGTTGAGGGTTATCAGATCAGCCATGATCTTATTGAATGGTGGAGCTGAATGGTGGATGAATGGTAGACTTCTACTCCTATGGTCTTATGGTCGAAATGAGGTTGACAAAGGAAATTAACTGATCTGTAAGGACTAGGGAAGATTTTGACAAGAGATGAGGGGTAGGATGTGAGGAAGATTATTTTACACAGTGAGGGGCAACCTGGATTCGCTGTGGGTGATGAAGGCAGTTTCGATGAATGATTTCAAGAGGAAATTGAATGGAAATTTGAGCAAAATAAACTTGCAGGGCTAAAAGAATAAAGCAGTGAAATGGGACTTATTAGATTGTTCAAATAGTCAAATGGCCTGATCCATGCTGTAATAACTCTATTTGTAAAGGCTATAGTTTGGAAACGGAAAGCCAGCTAGCTGTTGGGTATCAACAGAACAACATAAAACACTTTGGAAAAGTTTGCTCTCACTTTCCCCAGTCTGCGGTGATTGAGTTAACTGATCCAAACCAGAGTAGTGATACTGCTGTCAGAATGGATGATCCTGTATACTTCAAGACTCTGACATGCTGGGCAAATGTATGTGTGAATTTCAGGTGAAGACAGGATTAGGCTTGTCTGAGGCGCCCTCTTATGGTGAAATAACCTGTCAACTGCTTCTGTCTACTGTTTTACACTTAGGCAATGGCTACTAACACAGGGGTAAAAATGAATGACAAGTATATTTGGAAAAATAACCCAGAAAGGATGCATGTTTTCAAAGTTGCAGATTGAGTTGAAGCATGAACTATGAAGCAGACCACTCATCACGGTAAAATAACAGTCTTGAGACTAGGCAATTTCTCAAATTTACTTTCATTTTTGTTTCCTTTTAGCACATTTGGCACAGTGAAGGAAACAGTCATTGCTTTTTCCCTCAGCCAATTTCAGAATGTGACTTTCCTCACTTCTGAGACCCACGTTGGGTACATGTTTGTTTAATTTAGTGGTCATCTTAACAACACTTGACGCATTTCTAAAGTAATACACCTGAAGTAGTTATATCTGTGGAGCACAAATCAAACCTGGATATCACGATACTGTGACACTGTTTTGGTGCTCTATCATAATGTGTGAATTTTAACTCTTGGCTAGGAAAGCAGTCGAGGGAGCAGCCAGCAGGAAACCTATTTGATTTCAACAGCGAGATCTCATTAAATACCACTGGCTGGTTTGCACTGGTTGAGTAGAAAAATCTCCAGGATGTCAGCAAATTACTTGTTTCTGCATATCTTAGATTTTTATGTGCAGTATTATTGGTGCTCACCAAGTTAACTAATCCAGGTGTGGAAATACAGAAGTCTGAATTTTAATGTTTCTGAGCTAACATTAAATGTTTTTTTTTCCCTGCAGGTGCTGAAGGAGCTGTGTTTGAAAGGTCTCTAGAAACACCACATATCCGAGCTGAACCTTTTAAAGAATTGAGGTATCAAATATGATTTGACAGTTCTTTTTCATTTCTTTCCTATACTCTTCCTTCTTTCACTCTCCTCTCCCTTGTCCTTTCAATTTTCCCTTCTTTTCCTCTTCCCTAATTGTTTATTTTCTCATCAGTTTACACTTTTGTTTTCTTTGTCCTTTACTTCCCATTCCTTTCACCCATTAGATAGCTTCTTTGCCTGTCTTTGACTGTTTGTCTTCCTTGCAAATGTATTTGATTTCTGGAATCAGTCTGCTAATGCTCAAATTGAAGTGACATTGAATGGTGTTGCTCCAGAATTGTTGCCTAAAATATAAAGACTTGACTTGAGTTAAAGGAGTTTACAGCGCAGAAAAAGTCTCTTTGGTTCATCAAGTCTGTCAAAAACAAGCACCTAACTATTTGAATCCCATTTTCCAGCACATGGCCAATAGCCTTGGCATGACGAGCACATAGTTGAGTACTTCTTAAATGTTAGGGTTTCTGCCTCTACCATCCCTACAGGCAGTGGGTTCCAGATTTCCACCACATTAAACCTTCTGCTCAGTAACTTAAATCCATGCCTCCTGGTCATTGATCCTTCCAACAAGGTGAAAGCTCCTTCCTGTCTATCCTGTACAAACCACTTATAATTTTATACATCATCATGTCCCCCTTCAGTCTCCGCTGTTCTAAGGAAACCAACTCCAGTCTATCCAATCTCTTTTCATGACTAAACTGTGATGCTTAGTTTCTGTGACAGAAGCTTTGTAGTTCTTACACAGTGAAGGCAAACATTGCCATAATCCTACCAAGAACATAAGGCTGCTCACTCATTAGAGAGAGGCAACTGGTGGTGGTGGTTTAATCTGAGGGTCACCACACCTCATGGGAGGGGTTGAGAAGGAGAGTCTTTGATCACAACCTCAGCTGATGTGGGAATGGAACCCACTTTGTTGATATCACTGCACTGTAAACAAGCCAACCAGCCAACCAGCCATCCAACCAATTAAGCTAAACCAACCCTTTTGTGACATGGCCATGTATTGGTGTTATGTAGCTATCTTAAGACTTGCAGCGAGGCAGGCAGCATTTGTAGAGAGAACTGGCTAGTTAACATTCCAAGTGTAAATCTTTCTTCAAAACAGAAGAATCCACTCCCAAAACATTAATTATTGACATTGTTTGACAGCAGCTTCTGGTTTTGTTTCAGATTTGGTTTTGCATGTGTATGGGGGCAAGGTTGATTATCAGCAAAAGCACCACATGGATGCCCTTCTATTCCTTACGTTGAAGCCAGGGACACAATGTGAAACAGGCGGCTGATTCAATCTCAATCATTTTACACAAATGCTACAGCCCAGGTGTATGTCCACAATTAATTTTAATTAACACTAAAATTTGAACCAAGATTAAATTTCTTTGGAAAAAAATGACCATTGCAGCATCACAGACTTAGGGTCATTTTTTAGTAATGATCAATACCTGTAAATCTCCAAAGAGAACAAAAAAGTGAGTTGATTTTGGCAATTGCCTGTTGTTCAGCACTTCAAAGTTAAAGAAAGAGGACTACAAACCCATGTTAACAGTATGAAAGCTCAGTACCATTGCTTGTTTTTTCTTAATCAGATTTTAGTTATTGTGAGGAAAATATTTGCTTCAGCATCTCCATTTGCTTGTAAAAGATCTAAAAGCTAAATGAATTGTACTTGAAACCTTGACTTCATCAGTAGAAAGAACAACTAAAAAGTGAGACTACAGGGAAGTTTGATCCGAGAATTGAATGAGCACAAGAAATTACTTGACATATGAGAAATTTATCTTTTAACTGCTTGGCACATGGCAAGCTTTCTCTTTAATCTCTTGGAATGCTGCACACTATCCATTTAATCCTTTGGTGTTTATCAGAATCTCATTGTAACTTTCACTTCCCACTGTCGGTATTTACCTATAATCTCTCCTTCATACCATTAATATTGAAGTTTCAAATAAAATGAGTTTAGCTTGTGAGGTCATTTAAATGTGGTCTTTTTAAGATGCAGCTGGACGAGTTGCAACTAATATTTCCTTTACAGTTATAGAATGTACTTAGCCCTACATCGGTGCCTCAAATTCTCAACTCCACCAAATCAGATTTGTGCATCTCCCCTCCTTTCACCCTGCTGTGATAACCATATTTGCGGCCTTCAAAATCCCGTACTTTGGAACTTCAACCCTGTTTCCTCAGGTTTTCATGTCCCTTCCTTCCTTTTGTTAGTGAGGTTGCCCAATTTGTTATGGTTCCAGACGGGATGCCTGAAATTGTTAAGCCCCTGGGTAAGGAGGGACAAACTGGCTCTGCTTCTTTAATCATCCCCACTCCCTTGTTTGTTCAAACAAGATTAATTTAAAACCAAATTCCTTTCCTTGTGAAGAAGGGTCTAGGCCTGAAATGTCAGCTTTCCTGCTCCTCTGATGCTGCTTGGCCTGCTGTGTTCATCCAGCTCTACACCTTATTATCTCTCTCTCCTTTCCTTGTGGATACCTTTCTCTTGAACCCAAACTTCTGTTTTAAAAGAGGCCAATTTAACCTGGTTTTATTGAGTTAATAAACAGTTTATTAATTATTAATTATAAGAAGAATTAGTAACACAACACATGTGCAAGCAGGGTAGAAATAAGAGTTGAGTCCAGAAAATAAAAGTTTTGAAGAAACAGATACATGGCTCAGTCTCTGAATTTTTTCTGATAGTTAAATGTTCTGACCTCTGGTGGCAGAGGTTACCTGTAGTGTTAACTTTGTTGGTTGAAAAGTTGATTTCAAGATTCTTGACTTTGCAGGTTGTTTGAGATTCAGTTGTTCTGATTCCTTTCAACCATGAGTGAATTCCAGTATTCAGGGAAAGAGAGAGTCCTTTTGTATCCTGTTCCCTTTTGCCTAGTTTGATAGGTAGTTGGTTTCAAGAACTCTGAGTGCAAAAATCCCTTTACCTGCAACACAACATGAGTCAGCTTCAGATGTGGCCTTCAGAGAACACTGATGCCCGAACCCAGACTGGCACACATGAGAACATTCAATCCCACTAGCACATTCCAGATGAGGTGAAACTTGCGTTAAGGTGGCTTGCTGTAGACAAGAAGGTTGTCAGTCCTCATTATCTTTGAAATCACAAGAGATCAGAGACCATTCTGTTTTGACTTGCCTCTTCTCCCTTTGAAAGGTTATTGTTTGAAGTTCCCTTCACAATTCTATTTATGACATTCTGTTAGTTTGTCTCTCCAGACAGCTGCTTAATGTACATGTACATCCATTTTTACAACGTAAAAATGTCAATACCATTTCAGGGTTCTGACCCTTGCTCATGATGTTTGGAATTTATTTAAAACTCCTTAATTGAGAGCAGACTGATGGTCACTTCTCCCCACAGCTCCTTCTTTAACTCCATGTGACTTTCATAATGGATTAGACCATTATTAAGTAGGTAGATTTTTTTTTACGTTAATGATGCTATAAAATGCAAGTTGATTTAAATATAAGTGAGCTTTCAAGGTTTTGATTTTGTTTTATTGCTCTCGGTAACTAAATAAGCCCTGAATATGGGTTAAATTGACAAAAACCAAAAGAAACTCAAGGGTTTTAAGATTTTCAGGAATCGCTCACTTATTAAAAAATAAAATGCTCCAGCTTTGAAATTCTCTATTTAATTCTTGACCTGACTTGGTCTTAGGTCACGTTCAGTCATGTTAGGTACTTCCTAGATTGGCTGGTTGTCTGCTTCTTATTGAAATTAGCTCCCACTGACCTATTATCTACAAAGTGGGTGATTGAGGAATTGGGAAGGTAACAATGAAACCTCCCTGGGATAATCCTACTTTATGCACAGATGCACCTTCATTCTCTCTGAAGACAGTTTGAGTAATGGGCAAGATAATATTTGGTTTGGATTCTTAAACTGCCCTATTCTCTAGCAGTCATTTTTGCTTTAGGCATAGAGTTGGGATTGATGGTAAACTTTCAGCATTCACCATCATCAATCCTTTGGAACCGATCACAACTTCAAAATATGTGCAGCATGGTCTGAAAAGCCTGAAGTTTGAATCTGTCACTTTGTGTTCTGATTCAAGCCAACCATGGACCCATCTCATCCTAACCCCACAGATGTCGATCACAGTTGCGTTCAGAATTTCTTCGTTTTCTAGGTTCATCACAACTTTATGCCATAATCTTCACATTTGCCCGATTCAAGAAATTTTAAAATTTCCTTTCCTGGTCAAGGATCTATGAAAATCCCTCTCTGCTCCTATGATGCTGCTTGGCCTGCTGTGTTCATCCAGCCCTGCACCTTGTTGTCTCGGCTGCTTGAATAGCCCTGTGAATGCCCAGTAAACAGTTGAAGTGGTAATGCCTACTGATAGGTGTGAAATTATTGCTAGAGGGAATCAGTCGATTGTTATGCATGACTTAGCTCGAGTTCAGTGGTGAGTACCTTGCTTAGTAATTGACTGCAAACCCTGGGCCACAGACAATATTAGAGACAGTCAGTATAATCAGTATAAGTGCTATTACAATGGAACATGCAGGAATTAGCCTGCTGGATCATTTAACTCCACTTAAAAATTCAAACCATTTGTTTTATGTCCTACCATACAAATTGATGGTTCACTCCTTTTAAAGTCATATGCTTTTGACATTATTGGTGGCAGTCCTGTTTTTTTTTAAACACCCTCTCTCCCTCCCCCTCTCTCTCTCTCCTCTCTGGTCTACAGACATCATAAGAGTCTCTAAATACTATGATGAACACACTGAGTTTAACTGCTTGGCATTTCTTCAGGCAGTATCCTGTTCTGCCACTATTAATGATTGCTGGAAACTTTGAGGAAAAGGATCAAGTCAGGAATATGATGGAATACTGCCCAATTCCCTAAATGAGTGCCATTCCAGCAACACTCAGGAAGCTTGACACCATCTGGGGCACAGCAGTCAACTTGATTGACACTCCATTCACAAACATTCACACCTCCACCACCGTACTGATGGACAGCAGCAG